CGTGCTCTGAGGATGGCGCGTCTCACCAAAACTGAGCTGCGGGTGCGGAAGGTCCATTCTCGACGGTCCATGCTCGAGTCGGGGTCGAAGCGGTTGGCCAACACCACGTGGGGTCTACGAACCGTCCAGACAGCTTACCCAGTCTTTGATGATGCTTTGGGAAGCACAAGTCGGCTCAGCTTCTATCGGGATAAGATAAGCTTCGGGCTCCTCCCGCTTTGTGCGCGGAGAGATCCAGAGGTGGGGCGTTGTGCTTTGCACGCTCGCCCGTAATAGAAAGCCAAGTGCTGGTGCACCGCGTTCCCCCGACTGCTCCGGGGAAAGGTGCAGCGCGGCACCATCAAGGCGGGCTCTTGGCCCGTCGACCGACGGAAACAGTGGTCGTGTCCGGCGTCTGGGGGACGGCGGGATGGATGCTCTGCATCAACTCTGTCCTACCGTTACAGTGGCCTCGACTGGACTCCGGTCCAGTCCGGGATTGGGCGCCGGCTGTAAGTGGCAAGAGTTTTTAGTGAGGTTCAAATCCCACAACTCCACTCGTCGCGTAAATTCACTGTCGAAGCAGCTGTCCTGGAGCTACTAAATCTCCTTCTGAGGCGCTCGAACAGCTGTTAGTAAATTCCACCCCTTTTTCACACTCACCCACCCATCCTGGTGAAAATGAAAACGCCTTCGCGTCACGGCCACGGGCGGGTAGATATAAAACCTTTCAAATATCGATCTCTATCAGTTAAATATTGATATTTTGTTTAAGATGCTTTTTCCTTATAGACACAACATTTTCAATAAATCGTTTAGATAAAATTACAAAAGGCCCACTTTGATAAAGTTACAAGACGATATGTTACAAAAAAATGACATGCATATCTACTTCGCAAGATTCAATCGCTTTAAAACTTCAACCAAAAGATAAACTAAGTTTCATAACAAATCGCTTTCAGATTGATAAAAATCAATACAATCTGTCAATATCTATCTTGATGAATTTAAACACATGTGCCACTTCTGAGCTTAAATAATTTAACTTAAACTTAAAGCTTAAATAATTTAAAACTATACCTGCTCTGAGCATTTTCCTTGTGCAAAACATTGAATGATCATATTATTAAAGCTACTAACTTCATCAATCTAATAGTGTTTTTTGCACAAAATAATCAATTGAGTTTGATTCGAAATCATAAAAACCCATACAGTTTTACCACACAATTTTACATTCCAGAGAGAGCGTTATTCTCTACCTATCAACAAAGGCATATAGAGCTCCCTCACTTCTCGATTGAGTCAGCAATGAGTTTAATTGTCGTAGCTTGATAAATGATAAGCGTTACGGCGGAGCGCGTGCCGGCAGCAAGCGTGCATACTCATATAAACATTATTGGCATCTCGTGGTCGGCTCCTCGTGAGCAGTCATGTGATTATGATGAGACCACTTAAGCAAATAAACACTCGACTAATGAACGTCAACAGTAACCGTGGACAATCGCATTCGACTGCTCTACTTTATATATTACTAGCTGACCCGGCAAACATTGTTTTGCCATATATAAGATTTCTAGGGAATTTCTAGTGTAGAAAAAAAACTAACTTATTGTAAGTGTGTAAGGATGTGGTAAATGAGTGAAAGAGGTATGTAGTGCTGTGAACGATGAGGGAATATATAATAAAAATAACAAAACCTCATTCAACCACATAATACCTCATTATAANATATTACTAGCTGACCCGGCAAACATTGTTTTGCCATATATAAGATTTCTAGGGAATTTCTAGTGTAGAAAAAAAACTAACTTATTGTAAGTGTGTAAGGATGTGGTAAATGAGTGAAAGAGGTATGTAGTGCTGTGAACGATGAGGGAATATATAATAAAAATAACAAAACCTCATTCAACCACATAATACCTCATTATAACAAACAAAAATGTCCAAATAAAAAAAATATGTTAGGGGTGGACAACCCTAATCACTTAGGGGTATGAAAAATAGATAGTAGCCGATTCTCAGGCTTACTGAATATGCATAAAAAATTTCATGAGAATCGGTCAAGCAATTTCGGAGGAGTATGGGAACGAACATTGTGACACGAGAATTTTATATATTAGATTATATATAACACATGTATGTATTATGCATATAGATCCGTGTCTCGGATTGTACAAATAGAAACAAACTTATGATTTAAGTCAAGATTAATTAATTTTAATAATCGCCTCTTTAAATTTTTACTTATAATAATTACAAAAAATAAATATATTTTTTATTATTGCCATCGTAAGAACAGAGCGTCAAACGTTACCACGTTGTAACTAGAATAAATTAGGTTCCGTTTAATACAGAACTATGGACATTTAAATTGTTACTGCAAAGCTCTACTGTAATTTTGGGTTCAAAATTACCTTTTTTATTTGTTTTCATAATACCATATATTTCAACTGTCGCAAACTAAACGCTATAACTGTGGTTCGTATTAAGCCATTTACTTTAATTTACAAATTTAAATATTAATACGCATGAAACATGCTTAGTAGCTCGTAAATATTTTTTTCGAAATAAAAAAATAATTGTTGTCCTAAAAAAAAAAAACAGAAATTTACAACAAATTTACAAAAGGAACTGAAACAGGGTTATTGAAATTTGGACAGAACAACGTCTTTCGGGTCAACTAGCAGAGTCATAAAACTGGATATATCACTTCGCTATCCTAAAGTAAATTAAATTCCATAAAAAAAACCATACATTAAAAGAGTGAAAATAAGAAATAATATGCATGAAAAAAATATTTCCTACTAAGTGGTAAGCCGTTGTTAGACACTAGTGGTAGCGCGTTTTTACTGGTGGTGGAACATATTGTAAATCTGCAGAGTTTTAGGTACTACCATCCTGCCTATTTCTGCCGCGAAGCAGTCATACATTTCGCTTTATAGAATGAAATAGCTAAAACAAAAAAAAAAGAGATTTTGATGTCATGTCTCATGGCGGGAAGCGGCAATCACATTGTGATGTCTATGAAATCTCATTACCACTTTACACCAGGTGGACCATCCATATTATGCTAATATTTAAATAAAATATTGGGGCTTATAAACACCAATACAATATAATAATATAAATTACACTTGTTTTTGAATTAATGTTATCAGAGAAGTACAATAAATAATGTCATAGATATAATAAGACCAAAAAGACGCTGGAGAAAGAGGACGCTATGACCGCAATCCCGATCCTTTTATTTGCAAAAAAGGATCGCAAGAGTACCGAAAGCCACCTAACAAATTATACCATGGGACTGGCGTGAGACATATTTTTAATATAGCTAACTATAAGCACACATAATTGAATTGTATCACATCAGCCAACTGACTGTGATACAACCATATTAAGTAGATGAAAATTGAAATTAAGGATAATTGGAAGATTCCATTACGTTCATGCAAACAGTTATACTAGTCTAATTAATATGTTGCTGTAAAAAAAACTTAAGTATCAGTATATAGTATTGCATTTCAGCTATAAATTCACTTAATGGTAGAAAAAAAATTGTATTATATCGAATGTGTAATTACAGATAAACTTCCGCATTTCGTTTATCAAAAAAGGTTACATTACAATTATAATTCTTTAGATTTAATATTCGTTTTCTTAATAGATAAACCTGAGTTAATCGGGATACAAAACCTTACTTCCGTAATAAGCTTATAAAGTTATAGGTATAACAGAGATTTTTTTTTCAATAGTAACATAATATTTAATAAATAAATTACATCGTTTGAACTTCAGAGTAAACATTTTAAATTACTCTCACTTCTACTAATAGGTAGATCCAGTGCTAGTCTAGGCCTGGTAAGGCCTAGTGCAGGCTAACGCTGTTAGGTATGACAGCTCTCTACACTACTGCTGTGAACTATTCTTGGGCAAAGAGCAGGAAAGCTTTTAATTTAATAAATGCACTATAAATGACCACATGTCTCAAGGTTTCATTGCATTTACATTGTAATAAAAATTAGTCTTGAACACAAACAGAAACAAAAAACAAGATAACATTAACACAATTACATATTGTTCGCAAAATCACGTGCGCTTCACTTAATTCCACGAAAATAAACACGCTAATCAATTTCTAAGCTCACAAAGACAAAGTTGACAGATCTCATATTTATCTGTTTCATGCGATGGTTTCATGTCTGATAATACTCAAACCTGATTGGGTATTCGGCGGTGATGATGCTTCGGGTGGTGGAGGCTTTGGCTCTGAATTTTTCAGTTCGATCCGAGACTATATTAGTTTTCATTGAGACATCGATAAGCGCGCGCGCATATTTATACTTTTGTGGATTTTCTGTTTTACCGAAAAGTTTATTGATTTCATATGTGTGTGTGTGTGTGTGTAAAATTTAATGAATAAACATGAAGAAGGCTAGTAAAAAGTAATAACATTAACTTACGTGCTTAATTTAAGAAATAACTATTCAAATTGAAATTGGTTAATCAATTTAAAAAAAAAACATTATAGCAGAATAACTTGAAGATAGTCATAATTTGAATTGTTTAATTAAGATGCAGATTTTAAATTAACTATCTAAAGCTCTTTATTTTATTAGTATCTACTTCACATTTAATTATTAAGGTAAATCGTGCTCAGAATGTCCCACGGATACCACCATCCTGCCTATTTCTGCCGCGTGCTCCTGTCTGAAGGGTGGGACAGCCGTTATACAAAACAATCTGAAACTTGGACTTCGCATAACAAAATTGGTAGCGGCATTTATTTCATGATTTTTAAGTAATCAATAAAAAGCTTACCTATTATATCTGTTAATATTGCCTAGTAAATCAGTGTGAAAGGGTGAATATTTCAACATATCTGAGAATACGACTTTGTGTTTCATAAAGTACGTGGTCGCGTTAAGGTATCTCTGGTAGCCGACAAAGCAACCATTAGCTTATATTATATAGCAACGCAACCATATTCTAGCAATATCCTTAGTACTTAATTTATGTTCCAGATACGCAAAACAAGCGTCCGAATGGCAGCTATAAAGGAGTACCCTTTCGATTTGAGTGATTTGAAAAACCAACCGAGTGGTGAGGGCAGTCTTGAAGTGCCGCAGCAGTCGATATCTTCGCCGACAGAAACTACACTACCAACACAAAGCTTGCAATCTTCTTCTTTGGCTACCGGTGTGGACGGAAAAAGAAAAGTTTCCATCATGGCCGATGAATCTAGCAAGGATCGCGAAAACCAGCCCTCAGAGAGGTAAGATTACATTTACAAAATATCGAAGTGAACAATAAAAAAGACACATAGTTTTCACAGCCATTTAGAACAAAACATAACACGCAAGTCTACCATTACCTACTATTCTTACATTATATACATAGTTAATCAGTTATTTATATGTACCACAGAGAGTTAACAATGTTAAGTTACACAGCTTACTCGACAAGAATTTTGTACTAAAATTATGAAAACCCTTCAGGCACTTTATGAAAAAAACTGTTATGCTTCCAATGTAATTGTATGAGTTCGAATCTATTTTTTAATACATGAGTTCTAAAATATGTATAAATATTTACTATGTAATAGTTTAGTCACAAATAGGTATGATATTGAAAGAAAATTATTTCAAATAAGGAACTTCGTTCCAACAACAATTTGCAAATTTAGAATTCATAGCCACACAGAATAGATTGATAATTTGTTTTTAATACTTTTAGTACAAATAGATGGTTGTCAGCTGAAAATCAAAACGAATTTAATCGCGCTAAAAACATCATTCCTTTTTTTAAATTCAACATTCAATTCCACTAGAACTTTTCTCTTGAAGATTCCTGATCTTCATATCCGTCTTATTTTATTTCGTGAGGGGCTTAGCATTTATATGAACCACACTTCGATCTGTAAGGATGTCTGTTGTCACGAATTCTTCGAACTTCAAGTCTTTAAGCACCGTTCGTATGAATTTTGATATAGGTATTGTATTAAGGGAAAAGGCCCAGTAGACATCTTGGTCCGGGTAAACACTGCCTTAGACTTCAATATTTATCTTAATTTACACTCACAAAGTATTCGGCGCATTGTCTTCCCTATCTATATATATAAAAATGAATTGATGTTCGTTAGTCTCGCTAAAACTCGAGAACAGCTGGACCGATTTGACTAATTTTGGTATTGAATTATTTGTGGAAAGCCAGAGAAGGTTTAAAAGGTAGATAAATATGAAAATGCTCGAAATTAAATAAAAATAACAATTTTGTTTTCCTTTTGATGTGTCCTCCGACGGACAGATTCTTTTCGTTTGTTTTAAGATTTTTTTTACAAAAGTTTAGGTCTTTTATTTATCGATTGCGGCACTACGAAGTCTGCTCGGTCAGATAGTTTTTTAATAAAAACTACACATTTAGACGTCAGCCAAGTATGGCTTGATGGATGGACTTTAATTAATGCCATGGACTTCAGCGACTGGGCTCTGCCCTTGGAATTGCTGAAGTCCATAGGCGACGGTAGCCACTCACCATCAGGTGGGCCGTATGCTCGTCTGCCTACAAAGGCAATAAAAAAAAAAAACCAAAAAAAAGTGTGTGTGTCCGCTCCGACGCACGACTGGAGTTTACTGGATATAAAAAATTAAACGAAACAATACGAGAAATAGTTCTATATTACGACAACACGATACACTACAGATTATTAACAAATTAACGAGACACAAAACAAACGACTAACAAATATATGAAAATACAATAATGAGAGAAACGCGCGATCAGTACGAGGCTTTGTGGCGGACTGCCGGCGCAGCAGCCCGGCGTCACCTGCGATGACGCATTTCGTGTGACATGCGCAATCAGGCGCATAACGCATTTCGTGTGACATGCTAGTACGATTTTGGTCCCCATAATTTTCATACCCCGGGCCTATATATGTAAATCGATTCTAAAGGAGTAAACTCCAAAAAAACACTGCACAGTTGTTAAAGATTCCTGTGCTCGTGCCTGAATTTGAACTGTGTTCAACAAAGGGAGAAACTCGTTCGGCCTTAAGAAGGTTGGTCTTTTCCATTCTAAAAATGATTAGTTTGTGGAATAGCACGTTATGAGAAGCTGTCCCGGTATTCCGTTTATTTATATTTTTTTCGGGCCGAGGCGGAACCTCCTACGAGGCTCCCGCGCCTAGAGAGCGCGCGGGGTATGTGGGACTGGTCCGCGACTGCGAACCGTGGGCTCAAGGGTGTTTTTAGGACCCTACTCACTAAACGACTGCCTTGAACTCTTCGCCCAAGCGTCAACACTACAACCAGACGACGGCGCAGCTCACCCCAAGGATGCCCAACCGACGGAGCCTTCGAGGCGAATCGAAGTTTCTGAAACGTCGGCTTTCTCGGTACGGCAGGCCGCCCATACGGTGCCGCTAGTATCCCGGAATACCCCGCTGGACCAAAACCAGCCTGCTGGGCTGGGACGCGATACACCGCCAACCCGTTGCTCTTTTTATCTTGAAGATATTACTACTTTGCAACGTCCTAAAGTGCCGGTAGCGCGCCGCGCGACCTCTACCCCCTCAGGTCGCCCCTTGACCTTCACCGGGGGGAAGCTGCCACCAACAGGGGCCGGGATGTACGATCGTAGGTATTCTCTCTTTCGGCCCCCGACGTTTTTTCTACCTGAGCTAGTCATTATTTTAGTAATTTAACTTAAGAGCGCCTTACAAAAATGAATACCGAAACGTGAATTGTCGCTAAACTAAGTTACACTCAAGTTCAGGGAAGGCACTTAAGAAAATAATTTTATGTAAGTATTTTTTCGGACTTCACTTTCTGAGACAAATTACAGCTAAGTCCCTAACAACTATTACATTAGAACAGACTCATATCAGCATATTATGATGTTAAATATAAAAAACAATTAAACATAAAAGTGATCGTAATCAAAGAAGATTAATCAATTACTCAAAATGAAATATTTTTCATTCTGATGAATCTTTCTAATACTTCAAGTAACTGTTGTTAGTGTTAGATAATAATTAAATACATATGATTTATCATCAAATTCAATCAATCAAAATATTTGATTTTCACATTCACTATTACAGTTGCTAGACGACCATAATAGACCGCTTGGTATTAAATACCATGGATCCGTTAACTATTAACAATTATCACAACGTAAACACAACAACTACCTTTAAAACCTGTCGAATTAGTTTATAAATTGTAACACAACTTTTCGTTTATTTTACTGCTTTTTTTTTATTGCTTAGATGTGTGGACGAGCTCACAGCCCACCTGGTTTAAGTGGTTACTGGAGCCCATAGACATCTACAACGTAAATGCGCCACCGACCTTGAGATATAAGTTCTAAGGTCTCAAGTATAGTTACGACGGCTGCCCTACCCTTCAAACCAAAACGCATGACTGCTTCACGGCAGAAATAGGCAGGGTGGTGGTACCTACCCGTGCAGACTCACAAGAGGTCCTACCACCAGTAAAAATTTATTTATTTACGTAGTAAATTTATTTATTTATAAATTATTATTTATTTACGTAGGTATATTATTCTGCAGTGTATCATTCACAATTGAGACTATAAAACTTAGTATCACAAATTGGGCGAACCCATTTGCCTGGTCATACTACTATGTCAAGTACCGGTGAAAAATTAATAATACACAAAATGTTAGTTATTCATATAAATTTATTTTATCACCTTCTAAGAGTGCTCCTTCAGAAAACAATACATTTACGCCAACGAGTAATCAATCCAATCATCAAAACATTTTTTTTAAACGCTTTTTACAGAATTGAGTTCGACTCTCCGTTTTGTGTTCTACCGAAAGAAAACGGTTGCCACAAAGTAATTTGTCTTTAGGAAATAGAAAAATGTCGGCTGAAGCCATATCTGGTGAATAAGGCGGTTGCTCGGTGGTATTTGTTGAGTTTTTTATCAAAAATTCGTCCACCATGATGGCCTTGTACAAAGGCGTATTATCGTCGTGCAAAATCCAAGAAGTTTCTTTCCGAATATCTCGACTTTTTCGCGGAATTTGGTCTCTTAAACATCGCAAAGCACTCAAATAATATTCTTTGTTTTGTTTTTGATCTTGCAGCAACAATTCCGATAGTAGAACAACGCGCTAGTCAAAGAAAATAGTCAACATGACTGACTCTTGGTCGACTTTCACGTGTTTTTATCGGTTTCGGTTCAGTTAGAAGGCAAATGTTTGGTTAGAATTGCCTCGCTCTAATAGCCCAAGAGCCCGCGACAGCCAGACCTTCGTTATTTTATAAAAGCTGAAAGTTTCTCTGTGTATGTCTCCAACACAGGTAAGAACGACTCGCGATTACACGATTAACTCTATAGAGTTTCTATTGTGGTTACTTGGGCAGGTAACAGGCAGTAAAGGTATATAAAATAGTACCTTAAATTCGTAAAGTATAAAGGTTTTTTTTTTTAATATTTACTCCAGAATATCTTTAGAAATCATGATATCCGTTGCCGGACACTTTTTCCAGTTGTTACCCCCTGCCAGACACCCCTAAACTTTAATAAATTTTAATTATACTTTCGTTATACTATAAAAGCTAAATTTTATATATGTTACTTAGGGACTTATAAAAATATGTTACCCCAATAGCCGGACAGTTTTAATGGTTCTTACCTCTTGCCAGACACATTGAGAGCCCGCTGTAGGTGCGAGCGCGAGGTAGCAACTGTTCAAGCGGGTGTGAGCGAGATAGAGTGCTTAGTTTATTGTGATCTTTTAAGATATCCAATAAAAAAATTATTTTATTACGTTCATAGCAATATTATAGAAAATAAAAAATGTTATTTTAATATTATAAAGTACAAACAAAATATTACATGTCAAAGAAAAATATTTAATCGTTCTTATAATTTTCCTCATTGTCGTCGATATTGAACTGATGAATAAGGCGATATCAATATCGCCTTATTCATCAGTTTCTGTAAAAAATTAAGAAAAATTATACAATTTGAATAATAAAAAAATTATGTACAATAATTTGTCATAATAATTACATACCTGATTGAGTTTTGAGCGAATCTCTAACATAACTCGGTAGTAGATCTTAGCGTGTGCCAATCCACCACAGTCCTCGTGACGGGAACGGAATCGGGAGCGCGACCGAGCTTCATAATGACGGGGCGGTGGTCTGAATCTAACTCTAAAACTACTTCGATCGAGTGTAAGCGCAGAGTTACGTTTTTTAATAACGCTATGTCGAGTATATCCGGGCGATGCGC